TGGTGTTGGGATAATTGTAAAAGTGAGTTTCTGACTGTGAAACTTCACATGAATGCCAGCACAATTCAAACTTAGACAGACATTAGCAATGCATGCATCACACCTCCATGTTTCCACATTACGCCTTAAAAGTAAAATAAATACTTCCTCCTCTCCTAATGGCACCATCAGAAAAGCACCTGAATGCATCATTAGCCCCGTGCCATTCTACTTCATCATGTCCTCAGAGGAGCTATAGCCTACAATAAATGGAAATGTAAAGGCAGGTTTTGCACATTTGCACAACATGCATTAGCACATGAGCTAATCCACAGAAATGTTGTTGTGGATATTAATGATTCACTCTGGTGAGGAAGCTGTTAATTGTCAGATATCGGAGCCTCCCTGAAGTCTCTTCTGGGAAACTGAGACGGGAAAAAGCTCTTAGAGATCCTGGGGAAAGCTTTTCTCGCCACACGTGACACATTCACTCCTTCAGTCACAAGATAAATACAGACGGGAAGAGCATTGTGGGATATAAAGACTTCATATGACATGAGGAACTTAAACATAAAAGTTCTGTTCAGATAATGTTATATTACATCTACTGTAGGGCTGCAACCAACATTTTGTATGAACAATTAATCTGCTGTTTATTCATAGTTTGGTGTATTAAATAGTAACAAAAAGTCATAAAGTCCAATATGATGTCTTTAGTTGGTTGGTATTATCAGTTTTATGCTCAAAACATTCACTTTATGATATTAAAAGGGGAACATTCCCATATATTATAGGCAGGAAACGTCCTGTTTTGCACAAAAGACTACTTTTAGACATTTCAAATCTGCATATTTGAGACTGAAAACAGTATTTCCTGCCATGACATGACTGGAGGAACTCAAACATAAAAGTTCTGATCATTATTTATTGATCAGATATGCTTAAAGTACATCTAGGGCTGCAACCGGCAATTTGTGAACCATTAATCTTCTGTTTATTCATAGTTTGGTGTATTAAATAGTAAAAGAAAAGTCATAAAGTCAAAAATAATGTCTTTAGTTGTTAGTTTTATCAGTTTTATTCCCAAAAATATTCACTTTATGATATTAAAAGTGGGAAATCTCCATATTTGACTGGGAGGAAACATCATGTTTTGCACAAAAGACTACTTTTAGACATTTAGAATCTGCATATTTGAGAATGAAAGCAATATTTCCTGCCATGACATGACTAGAGGATCTTAAACCTTAAAGTTCTGATCATTATTCATTGATCAGACAATGTTATATTGCATCTAGGGCTGAGACCGGCAATTTGTATGAACCATTAATCTGCTGTTTTGTTAATAGTTTTGTGTATTCAATATCAGAAAATAGTATTAAAAAAAGTCATAAAGTCCAAAATGATGTCGTTAATTGTTAGTATTATAAGTTTTATACCCAAACATATTCACTTTATGATATTAAAAGGGGGAAATCTCCATATTTTAAAGGCACGAAATGTCATTTTTTGCACCAAAGACTACTGTGAGACATTATTACAACAGTTCATCATTGCAGCTCTAATAATTGAAGCAACAAGTGGTCCCAAATCTGTAGTTTGAGACTGAAAACAGTGTTTCCTGCCATTTTTGCATGAAAGATTAACAGATAAATGATAACACGAACCTCTACAGCTCTAGTTAAGTCCTATGGTTGCCCTGTTATGTAACTTAAAACAAGATATCTCCATGTTCTCAGGCTCTGTGCTTTAAAGAATCCACTTCAAGACACTGGTACTTGCGTACCATGCTGCGAATGGATCTGGCCCTTCCTACATCCAGGACATGGTTAAACCGTACACCCCAGCACGTGCACTCCACTCTGCATCAGCCAAACAGCTCGCTGCACCCGCACTGCGAGGGGGACCCAAGTTCCCATCAGCAAAAACACGTGGGTTTGCTATCCTGGCTCCAAAATGGTGGAATGAGCTCCCCATTGAAATCAGGACTTTGTTTATGTTGGAACTCTTTGTCTTAGTAGGCATTCATGGAGTCCAGTATCTCGGTGTAAAGTTCACGATCGAGTGACAGATCTCATCGGCAGGAAATAATCATATATCCGAAAACAATTATTAAGAAGCGAGCTTCACTCAGTTCTCTACTTAAAAGTCAGACTTCTTCTACACATTC